TAAGGCATTTGATACGGTCTCGCATGATATTCTTATCAATAAATTAGGCAAATACAACTTAGATGGGGCTACTATAAGGTGGGTGCATAACTGGCTGGTTAACCGTACTCAGAGATTAGTTATTAATAGTTCACAATCCTGTTGGAAAGGTATAACAAGTGGGGTTCCGCAGGGGTCTGTTTTGGGACCGGCTCTATTCAATATCTTCATCAATGGTTTAGATATTGGCATACAAAGTACGCTTATTAAGTTTGCAGATGATACCAAGTTGGGAGGGGTTGCGACTGCTCTGGAGGATAGAGTCTTAATTCAAAATGACCTGGACAAATTGGAGGAATGGTCTGAGGTAAACAGGATGAAGTTTAATAAAGACAAATGCAAAGTGCTCCACTTAGGAAGGAACAATCAGTTTCACACATACAGAATGGGAAGCGACTGTCTAGGAAGGAGTACGGCAGAAAGGGATCTAGGGGTTATAATGGACCACAAGTTGAATACGAGTCAGAAGTGTGATACTGTTGCAAAAAAAAAAAAAAAAAAGCAAGAAACATGAGTCTGGGATGCATTAACAGGTGTGTTGTGAGCAAGACACGAGAAGTCATTCTTCCGCTCTCCTCTGCACTGGTTAGGCCTCATTGGGAGTATTGTGTCCAGCTCTGGGCACCACATTTCAAGAAGGATGTGGAGAAATTGGAGAGGGTCCACAGAAGAGCAACAAGAATGATTAAAGGTCTAGCAAACATGACCTATGAAGGAAGGCTGAAAGAACACGGTTTGTTTAGTTTAGAAAAGAGAAGATTGAGGGGGGACATGATAGTTTTCAGGTATCTAAAAGGGTGTCATAAGGAGGAGGGAGAAAACTTGTTCATCTTGGCCTCTGAGAATAGAACAAGAAGCAGTAGGCTTAAACTGCAACAAGGGAGGTTTAGGTTGGACATTAGGAAAAAGTTCCTAACTGTCAGGGTAGTCAAACACTAGAATAAACTGCCCAGGGAGGTTGTGGAATCTCCATCTCTGGAGATATTTAAGAGTAGTAAGATAAATGTCTAGACAGTATTTGGTCCTGCCATGAGGGCAGGGGACTGGACTCGATCTCTCGAGGTCCCTTTCAGTCCTAGTATTCTATGATTCTATAACAAGATTTCAATGTAAATTTGTCAAGTCTAATTTCAACACTAGAAGGGCTAGAATGAAACTTTATGTTTTTAAATGAATGGTTTATATTATGGAAAATATAACAGTATTATTCTTTCAATACAGTTATTTTCCCAACAAAAATGTTTAGGGTCTGTATGTTACATGCAGTTTTCATGTGAGAATCTTCGTTTTCGACATCAGTTCTTGGATTTGAAGAAAAAAAAATCCCAAAATAGTCATTGTTTAAAAATACAATTAAGAAATTATGTATTTTAACAAGATCTAGGCAATTACAGACTCATAAAGGACCTGATGAATCTGCGCTGTAGGCATGTTCCTCTGCTAGAGTGATATCTAACGTATCCTAGAGCAGCAGTTAGAAAAACAAGAGTCTGCACTCCCTGTGGGGCTGGTAAGGCCCCTTGGCTGAAGCACAGCTACCTGTGGGACTAAACACTCAAGCCCAAAGCCCCAGAACCCCTGCCCGTATGGGGCACTGGATTTTTTTTATAGTATGTGGGAAGTGGCAACAGTTCAGGAAAAAAAGTTTGAGAACTTCTGTCCTAGAAGGTATGTGCTCAACGTGATTTGGAATGGATGTTTCTATCTACACATTAGCTTTCTTTAGGATAATTTTAATATCATTCACTCTGAAGTTTCTCAGAATCTGAGCCTAGAATACTTTTTAAAAAACAGTGTTAATGTGAAATTTTACAAACAAATATGCTTTTCTCTTCTTACAGACAAGTTTAGCAAAATCACTGAAAGTTACTAATGCTTAATATTTATAGAATTATTTTCAATTAAATATATTCAGAATTCTGTTTTTAACCCTTCTATTATTTCCTTTGGTGCCGAGAATTATATCACTGATTTTAAAAATCTATTTAAAACAGATGAGTCATTCCAAATTGTTTACTGTATAAATATTTCATTGTCTCAAGTATGTAGAAGTAGGGATTTAAGTGACTAGTCAATTACACGACAAGCATAAGCTTATCCCCAAGGGAGCAGGAGCCGGTGCCGGGGGGAACCAGCTTAAAAGCCGGTTCACCCCAGCACCAGTTCTGCAGGGGTTGGGGAGGCAGTGGGACCAGGCATGCGTCAGTAATCAGCTGATTCCCAGCTCATGCCCAGTCCCAGGATGCTGCACTTCTGCTTTTTAAATGCATTAAGAGCCTGCTGGCCAGTGACAAATCCCCCCCCCGTGTGCTTCAACCTTTTAAATGTATTAAGAGCCTGCTGAATCTTAACACATTTAAAAGGCAGAGCCGCAGTGGGGCTGGCATCTAACCCCACTGCAGTGCCACCATTTATCAACTAGGCGATGGAAATTCTGTCGATTAGTTGCTTAAACTAAATTAATATTCCTATATGGCACTTTGGTTCTGATCCAATCTTGATGACTAAGATTGCACATGAAACACATTTTTCACGTATCACCAGAAATTAGTTTGAAACAAATATTTGTGGGAGGAGGGACAAATGAATGCCAACTTAATCTAAAAAGGAAGTCCAAAATATGTGCTGAATGCTAGGGAAGTCAGAACACATTGCTGCAGTTTACCAAGTAATTTCAACTTTCCTCTGACCTTGAACTCAGCAAAGTATTTTAACACTTGTCTTCAAAATGAAGGCTCCAAGTACTTTACAAACACTAATGAGTTAAGCCACGAAAAATATCTGTGTTGTATATAGGGATGCAAGCAACTAGTCAACTATCTGATACGCATAAGCTTATTGGATAGTCGAGTAGCAACTCAACTAGTTGCTGCCCCCATCCCTTGCTGCATCTTTCAGAGACAGGCAGCAAGAGGGGAGGGGGAAGAGGAGCTGGCGCTGCAGGATTAGGGGGGGAGAGGAGGAAGATGCACAGTGGTGAAATGGCGAGTGGGGACTGAAGCAGGCCCCCGCTCCTCCATGTTTCCACTGAAGCTGCTTCAGCCTTTGAAATGTACAAGTGCCCTGTGGTGCTGAGTCCAGCAGCCCGAGCCTGGTCCCAGCAGCCTCAGATTGCACTGATCACAGTGCCTCTGCATGGCGGCTCTTACTACGTTTAAAATGCAGAGCTGCAGCATGGGTAGCTTCTGGCGCTGGCACGAGCCAGGACTGCTCAGTCCCAGCTCAAGCCAGTTCCTGGAGCCACCCCCTCTGCAACTCTACAGAGCAGTTATATCGATTAATCGTACAGTCAATACAGACTGTATCAACTATACAATTTGCCTGATAACCACATTTTAGCCTTAGTTGTATCCTCTTAAAATAAGGGATAAAGGATCTTTCGGAAAAGGCTTTATTTTCCAAAAGATCCGTGTCTAGACTGGCGCTTTTCCCCGGCAAATCTCTGTGCCGAAAAAAAGAGGCAGACATTTTTATGCTAATGAAGCGGGGGAGATTTAAATCCCCGCTTCATTAGCAATTGCGATGCGTCTAATTTGCATCCCTTTTATGAAAAAGGGATGCAATCTAGATGTAGTCTTCAAGACTAGGTTATTTATAAGAAAGCAAAAGTTTGGAACTTCTGATTGTCTCACTTTATTCTGCGTAATTAAAGGATAAAGAAAAAAATTGGGATAGGAAGCACTTGTTGTTAATATTTTGGGAAGAGGTATGAAATAGTTGTATAATACCACACCTTGGTGCCAACAGTATGCCTCATGTCTAACCATGTACCTTGGCGTGTCTATACACAACACATATCCTGTCATTCATGTTTTATTGCTAAATGTAGGTGTATTTAACCATGAGGAAAATCAAGGTACAATTACACAAATATGTTTTAATCCTTTAAAGCTGAACCACTACCAGACAGTTGTATAAGAGAATATGTATACCACAACTCCAACTAAGTGTAACAATTTAGTAAAGAGAAATTAATGGAACATGAATCACACTGGTTTACCCAAACACAAAAGCTAAGCATGTCTAAAGATTCCCTTAAGCTAAAGAACAGATCTACCTCGTTTTCACAACAAACAGAAAAAAAAAATCTTCATTTCACTGCCTGTTAATCTGATGTCAAAACTAAGGAAAAATAGAAATATTCACCTCTAACGCTCTGGCTTGTAAGCGGATGCGTAGCTCTTTCTCTTTGCAAATGAACCATTCTTCCCAAGGGGAGAGATTATCTATTGGAGAGGACTGTTTTTTCTTTTCTGTTACATTACAGTTTTCAGCACTGTATTACAAATGAAAGGGAAGACATTTTAGTGGATACTACTTTCAAATCAAATTTATTTCAAAATTAACCAGTGCAACTGATATGAAATAATGACGTTCATACTTTGGGTATTTATGATACCATAAACTCATTTACTTCTGCAATTCTGTGATAACATCTAGAATAAAGTGATAAATGGCATTTTTTGGAACTTTTGATTGTCTATTTTACTCCACATAATTAGCTCATTTTCTTAAGGAATAATTGTAATAGTCCAAACTATGGAACAGATTCAAAATGCTACCATTTAACAAGAAAACAAAAACAAAAAACCGTTCACATGTTTCCTTCCTTCTCCTGAAGTATAGATCAGGAAAAAGCAGGGAATTAAAGTTACATCTGCTATATGCCCTCTTTGACCAGTAAAAAGTCCAGTGTGTCTCAACCCTTCAGGTCTAGTAACAGATTTTAATGTCACCAAGTAACCTGAACTTTGAGGAGAACTTTAATTAGAACTTATTTGGGACACCCCATATAACTCACTCATGTTCTTTTCCCCCACTCATCAGTAAGATAGCTATCCCAATCTCAAGTCAATAAAACCTGATAATACACCAGATACTTTTACACATGAGCTAGCAAATGTATGTGATATTAGACTTCATTTTGATCAAAACTAACTTATAAATGACAATGAGCTCATCTGTGAGCTTTCTACATATCTTTCTAGATTACACAGAATCTTCTCTTCTTTCAGACAATAAAAATGGAAATTCCCTCTTTCCAGCAATGTATGCTGAATTTCTTTGATGTCCTGAGGATACTTAACTATACTTTTAACATTACTACTGTGAGTAGTCCCACTGATGTAGTTCAAGAGGCATCCAGAAATGATTTAATAGTAACACTGTAAAATAAATTGACTATTTAATGAAGTATATTTAAACATAGGATTTTTTTTTTCAATATAAAAGACACTGAAGATTCAGCAACTTCAGTATCTGTTCTTCATATCTAACATAAACCCGCTCCATTTATAATCAATAATAACCTATAAGGAGGATAAACATAATTATTATTCAAAGACAACACTAAACTGAGAATCACAGTAAACATTAATGAGAGCAGTGAAATAATATAAAGGGAACAGAATGATAAACATATTTGTAGAAAATAATGAGATTTAACTTGAAAAACGCAAGCTAATACACTTGGAAGAAAATAATCTAAAACTTAATTGTTCAGGTGAGGGGGGCAACCTGAGGAGTCCTAATAAAAAACACCCAGATCACAGTGGCTATTGTGTGAGATAGCAGGAAAAGAAGCCAACACAAAACTGTGTAGACAAGCGGAAAGTGGCAGGGACAATTATTCAATACATGACTGTGGTTAGAGTGCACCTTCATTATTGCACTCCATAAGAGACTGAAAACTGGAGGAAGTTTAGAGCAGAACTACGAAGACTGAGGTCTACAGGAAAGGTAACATTAAACAAAAAGAGCCTGGTGAATTAGGGAAATAAATACAGTACAAGTATTTGAAGGGTATAAAAATCAAAAACCACAAAAATGATTTAGGTTGGTAAAAGAGATTAACTATAAGTTATCAGAACAAGTTAAACAGAGAAAAATATAGGCTGAATATCATCATTAACCATTATAAGGGTTAATTGGGACTTTCAAAATGACTCAGCATTAGCCTAATTTTACTCCTATGACTTCAACCTTCCACAGTCTCCTGAGAGATGGAGCAGAAGACATATCTGAGATATTTAGACTGTTAGAGACTGGATAAAATATATTGGCTGGAAAAAAAAGGAAAGTTTATGTATAGAAAATATGTAGAAAACTCAGATTCCCACTGGAATTTTATAAGTTAGTTTTGATCATAAGCAGTCATAATTTGGCAAGCAATGTGTCCCGGTAAGGATAGTCTTTTCCACCTTTAAGACTCTCAAACAAAGAATTCCCAAAATAGCGGCTCTGTGTGTGTCAAATCCAAAGTAATTTTGGGGAGTATGGTTTGTTAAAGTACAGATTTTTCTTCTGAAAACATCAGGCTCACTTTAAAAAAACATCCTTTATAAGAAAACAAATCATAGAACACTAGAACTGGATGGGACCTCAAGAGATCATAAAGTCCAGTTCCCTGCCCTCACTGCAGGACCAAGCACCATCTAGATCAGAGTTTCCCAACCAGGGGTCCACAGAACCCTGGGGTTCGGCAGACCATCATCAGGGGTTCTGCGAGAAATCGTGGAATAGATAACACTGGGCGGGGCCTGGAGCATCTGTCATGCCCTTTGCCTCCCACCCTGGCACTCGGCTGACTTCTGTGCAGCTCAGCTGGGCCGCCGCACGGGAGCAAGCGGTCATTTGGGCTCCGCGAGTTAGAGGCAGGAGGGAGAGGAGAAGAGAAAGAGAGAGTGAGGCAGAAGGGGGAGGAGATGAGAAAAAGAGTGAGAGGCAGGAGGAGGAGGAGAAGAGCAAGAGAGAGTGAGGCAGGAGGGGGAGGATATTTGATATTTGAAAAAAAAGATTAGATAATAAAAAAAAGACAGGAAAATACTCCATTTTTTTTTTACAATGTAAGCTGATGCCACTGCTTCTTGACCTATCATCAGAGGACAAGAAGAACAATTCCCCCCACCCCCTTTTTTTAAATATGGAGATATACCTATCTCATAGACCTTGATAAGTTATAGAGTCCAGTCCCCTGCCCTCATGGCAGGATCAAGTACCAACCCTGACAGATTTGCCCCAGATCCCTAAATGGCAACCTGAAGGATTGAACTCACAATCCTGGGTTTAGCAGGCCAATGCTCAAACCACTGAGATATGCCTCCTTGAAATACCCTTTTTGATACTTGAAAATTGCTATCATGTCCCCCCACAGTTTTCTCTTTTCTAAATTAAACAAGCCCAATTCTTTCAATCTTCCCTTACAGGACAGGTTTTCTAGACCGTTTATCATTGTTATTGCTGTTGATGTAATGGAATCTGAAAAAGGGATGAAGTAGTCTTAAAGTTTTATGATTTTTATTTTATATGCAATAGTCTGTGATCCAACTGTGATCCAATACCATCTACAGATAATGACTTTGTGACAAAGATGCTCTGAATACTGCTTGCTGACATCTGACTCACCTAAAAGTAGGATGGAAAGTCAAAGTACCATTTTTCTGAACTAATAGAAAAATGGTTTTCAACTTGTGGCCTACAGGCCCTTGGGACCAGAAGATTATGCATAAGCGGCCATGAAAGGTGATTATTCATAGTTTCAGATACCAGAAAAGCCATTCCATTTTTTCTGATCAATCAAAAGTGCGTGAATACCGCCAGAACCAGGTCAAAACCTGTGGGCTTTTATGGTACCTATTATATTGTTTTGACTGGATAATGTCACTGGTACCATAAAAACCCATAGTTTAGCACCCTCACTCACACTGCATCAAATGTCATGCTGAACATGTGCAATATTTAAGCTGAATTCTGTTCAATCAATTTTCAGTCTACTCTAAGACATCTATAGCTGGCTTCCAAGAACCACAGATTAAACTTCCAAAGGAGTCAGCACCTCTATTTGAAAATGTTTGGAGCCCCACAAATGGAAAAAAGGTTGAAAATCACTGTACTAAAACATTCATAAACATGATATTTTATTATTATTATTTTTATTATTATTATTATTGTGCATTATTACCTTGATTAGGTGACTAAATAAGTATTTAGCTGTGTAACTTTCTACACCCAAATTTGAAAATCTAGCCTTATAAGGAAGGAGCATGATCACACATCAGTGATGGGGATGAGAACAGATCCAGGAGTCTGAACAAGGCTGCGTCTAATGTAGCAAAGAGACAGGGAATGGAGATTACCTATTGTGTTTACTCCTCTTGACGGTTGTTTGCCCCCTAGCTGATGTTGCCGCTGCCTCCCTATCCTCCTCTTCATTGCAGCTCTGGAAGCTGTGATTGTAAGTTGGGGAAAGCAGGGAGTAAGTAGAGGAGCTCAAAGGCTGCTCATCCTCAGAGCTGGTTGGGGATGAAATGCTGCAGTAGGCTTCCCTCCTCCTAGTCCTGGGCTGATCACTGAGCATGGAGGCAGTAAGCATCTGTCAAAAGTTAATGGGGTAAGAGCAGTGCCTGTCCATAGGTCCCACAGTTTCCAACACACAAGCCCCTACCACCCACCAACCTTTCAATCCACAGGTCCCTGCCCCCCTAGCCCCAGCAAGGATGTGAACAAATAACTGGTTAGCCAGTGAGATTCACCCTTACCCAGGAGCAGTGGCCACAGGTGGGGGCTGTTCCAGCCCTGCAGCTGCACCTCACACAAGGGAGGGAGTGGATCCTGCTTAACTGGTTAAACCTAAGGTTTAACAGGTTAACTGATTAACTGGGATTTTACATCCCTCTTTTCCATCCCTATTGGAAAAAGAGGAGACTGAGGGGGGATACGATAGAGATATATAAAATCATGAGTGGTGTGGAGAGGGTGAATAAAGAAAAGTTATTCATTCATCTGTCAGGGATGGCGTAGACGGAGCTTGGTCCTGCCTTGAGGGCGGGGGGCTGGACTCTATGACCTCTCGAGGTCCCTTCCAGTCCTATGATTCTATGATTCGTTCCCATATTATAAGAACTAGAGGACACCAAATGAAATTAATGGGGAGCAGGTTTAAAACTAATAAGCGGAAGTTCTTCTTCACACAGCGCATAGTCAACCTGTGGAACTGCTTGCCAGAGGAGGCTGTGAAGGCTAGAACTATAAGAGAGTGTAAAGAGAAGCTAGATAAATTCATGGAGGTTAGGTCCATAAAAGGCCATTAGCCAGGGGGTAGAAATGGTGTTCCTGGCCTGTCTTTGTCAGAGGCTAGAGATGGATGGCACGAGACAAATCACTTGATCATTGTCTTCGGTCCATCCCCTCTGGGGCACTTGGCGCTGGCCACTGTCAGCAGACAGGATACTGGGCTAGATGGACCTTTCTTATGTACACCCCACCCCCAGCTTCCAACTCACAAGCCCCTGTGCCTCAACCTCAAACTTAGAATTCACAGATCCCTCAGCATCACCTATCTCCACCCCCAGGAGCTGCTAACCCTCCAGGACAGTCCTGAAGTCCCAAGGAATTCAAGATTTTTTTAAAATTAAGATTATGTCATGTGATAAAGCCTCCAGGAATACATCCAACCAAAATTGGCAAGTCTGTTCTGCAACTAGAAGAGTGTAAAATTTGGGGGACCAGAATTCCCTTCCCAATTACAAATTAGCATTGCCCCTATTTATAAAGCATGTTGAGAACCTTATTTAATATATAATTGTTTGTTTATTATGAATGAGAGAGATAATTTCTTTTATGAGTTCAGATCTCCACTGCTCGTATGTCGATTGGGTAGAATTAATTAGCTGACTCAAGGTCAAGAGAGGTCTGACTGGTTAGAGTAGCTAATATCTAAACTAACAGGGCAGGAGCAAAATCAATGATATTATTTTTGTCTTTTTTAATGCATACAGCAAATTTTCCACTTTCTTGTCTCATAAAAGGAATCTATTCATTTTTTTAAAAAACTGTTCTCATTCTTCCATGTTCTACCCTTAGTTATGGTATTGTATGTAACAGTTTGACTCTAAATTGTGTCAGTTTATATACCAACATTCCCACCAGCTGTTCTCACATACTTAAAATGATGCAGTTAGAATCAATATTAAACCAAGCAACTATCAACTTTATCCAATGTTTTTTTTGCTGACTGTACATCTACACAACACTGATTGAGGCCCTGATATTCCAAACACGCACACAAATTATTTTATGAATGAGAGTAGTCACATTCTGGTCAATAGTTATAGTTACTGATGTAAAGTTATTCACATGAAACTGTTGGCAGGATTGGGACCTAAACATCCAATATCCTGTCCCAGCATGCCCTGGACCCAGTGTAAAATGTGGGCAGCTTTTAGGGATGAACACTTCATTTGTTCCAAATTTGTGGTAGGACAGCACATCCACAATGTTCATTCTGAAAGATACTCCAAGCTACGTGGAATCTGAATGAACTGAACTGTACTGCTGTGCTTTGTTGGGTGGTTAATTAACTGGGTCCTTGGGGCCGCTCTGCAGGGGGCCCCGAGCTCGGGCTGCCCGAGGCTACTGCTTGAAGGAAGCTGCCCAGCTGCTGTGCATTTGGACTTTCAACCCAGGCCGCTTCCAGCCCCATCGCCATTACAGCTTCGAGATATGGGGGGCACTTGTGAAATCCTTCTTAAACCAAAAGCCCCTTGGTGCCTGCAGAGCCCCATCACTGCCAGGCACAGCACTTGCCCTGGGGCCCAGGCTAAAACCTTCTGTACGGTAGCCCAGTATGGCTGTGTCCAGACTCAGGGGTTTTTTCGGGAAAAGTAGCCTTTTCCCGAAAAAACTTCCCCTGCGTCCAGACTCAAGCCGTGTTCTTTTGAAATTATTTCGAAAGAACGCGGCTTTTCTTTCGATGGCGGTAAACCTCGTTTCACGAGGAAGAACGCCTTCTTTCGAAAGTTCCTCTTTCGAAAGAAGGCGTTCTTCAATGTAAATAGGGCTTCTTCAAAAGAGAGCATCCAGACTCACTGGGTGCTCTCTTTCGAAAAAGCGGATTTCTCTTTCGAAAGAAGCCTGCAGTCTAGACATAGCCTATGAGATTATTCAGCATACCATAGGAGAAGCCTTGGGATTTCTTACACCACTGTGGGAGGCTAGGCCTGAGGCTGCTTGGGGTGCTCTGCTTTGTGTCTTGTGTGTGCGCGCCTCAGACCAGACCACTCAGACAAACCACCAGGAACAGGTTTTATTCTGTAAGAAACATAAAACAGGATCAATGTTCAGCAGCCCTTCCTCTCAGCAGGCGGTCTGTGTGCTGCTTCTTGCACAGTCTCTACTGAAACCCTGCTGAGGGCAGAGGTTACAGCAGTAGTCTCCAGCCTTTTTAAGCATGAGATCACTTTTTGAATTTAAATGCAATCCAAGATCTACCTCAAACCCAAATACCCTTGTCCCCTCTCCTCTGTGCCTGTTCTCCGGGGCCCCACCTCTGCTTACTCCATCATCCCTCCTTTCCTCCAGCCTGGGGTGCAGGCTCTGGTGTTGGATTAAGGGATTTGGAGTGTGAGAGGGGTTCTGATCTTACCTTGGGGTAGGCAGTTGGGGTACTAAAGGGGATTCTAGGTGCAGGCTCTGGGAAGGCATTTGGATGCAGGGGTACTCAGGGCTGGGGCAGGGACTTGTGGTTCAGGAGGGGGTTCATGACTGGGGTAGGATTTTGGGATGTGGGCTCCTGCTGGGCACTGGTTATATCAGTTGGCTTCTGGGTGGTGGTGCAATAGGGCTAAGGCAAGCTCATCCCTGCCCTGGACTTGCATCACTCCCCAAAGCAGCCAGCAAACTCCCTCCCAAGTCCTGGTTTGCCCCCTATTTGCTCTGTGGAAATGGGATACAAGCAGGGAGAGGGTGCACCTTGACATGAGCACCATTCCTCTCCCTCCCCTGCCCTACCCAGAAAGCAGGAGGCCCCTGAGGAGACAGCTCCAAGACAAAGGGCAGGAGCTGCACAGCAGTGCGGGGAAGAGCAGCTGAAGTGCCGGCACTTGATAGCCTCTTGGCCAACCAGTCAGGATCACCTGTCAGAGGCGCCAACATCTACCAGTAGATCCCAATCTACTGGTTGGTGACCACTGGGTTACAGCATACAACACAGCCCCTTTACAACATGTTCCAACTCCCACAGTAACTAAACCCCACAATAACCAAGTCCAGGTTCTCCCTTTGTGTCACTTAAACTCCTCTCAGAGTGCTCTATATCCCTTTCTGGTCCTACCTGTAAAAAACATAAAACAGGATCACAATTCAGCAGCCCCTCCTCTCAGCATGTAGCCTGGGTGCTACTTTTAACACTGTCCTTGCTGAGACCCTGCTGGGAGCAGAGGGCAAATCCTGGCAGGAACCAGGAAGTTCTCCCAACATGACGCAGTTTGTAGTCCACAACTTGCAGTTCCCAGGGCTGCCAAGGGCAGATATGGGTACAGAGGCGCCCACCATGGGTGGCTCTGTGGAATCTGAACTGTTTACTCTCCCCTTTTAATGGCCATACCAAATTCTAGCATCGTTTGATTTCAAAATGAAAGAAGGTGAAGGGGAAAAAATAAGTGATTTCTTATCAATTTCTGTTTAGACATATTTCTGTATTAGCATTGCTTTGCTTACCAGAAAATTGGAAACAGCAGCAACAACAGTTGAAGGATAATTGATTTCTTCACAGTCCCTTTAGTCCACCAGTGATTAAAAAAAGAGAGAGAATATTCAACAGGTATAAATCAGCACAGCTCCATTGAACTCAATGAAAATACTCATTACAGATGGGATCAGAGTTTCACTATCATTGAAACATTCTTCCTGCACAAAGACTGTAGCATTGGGTCCCCAATGTATTTTAACTTGAACACAGTGGTAACAGCATGTAAATAAACAGACTTCTTGGCATTGGTAGGGTACTACAACATTTAAATGTCACAAGTAGGATACTAAACTGAGGTTGTTCTCCATTTCACCTTCATGTTTAACATATATTTTCATAGAAACAGAGTTTATGCAATTTTTGATTACCCAGCCTGTCCCCTTGTCAATGCAAGATTGTTCCATACAATATTTTCTAGCGATTTATGCAATTTAGTTTTAAATGCGTCATACACTTCCATCACTTCCCTTAGGAGACTATTACACACTCTAGCAAATCTAATTCTCAAGATTTTGTTTCGTATAATATGCAGCTTTTATTTTTCCTTTTTTAGTTACATCCCTTTACTACTGGCTATTCTGCCTTTTGGCTATCTTACTAAATTCCTCTCTTCTTGTAATTTTTACCACTTAAATATTCATAAAATTAGTGTCCAGTTTTATCCCCATATACTCCTCAGGGACAGGATTGGCCATTTACATTTCAGTGCAATTATCTTAGTCATGCCACACATATTTACCACTTTAATCTTGCCTCATAAATCAGTCCTTCCTTGTGCTCTTTTGTGAACTCCCTTCAGTTAGTCAATATAGTTACTGAATTGATGTGCCAAAATTTGAATGCAATATTTTTAGATAGGATCATAACCAGAGCTGTATTGAGTGATTATCATCTCTCTAATCTATTATGTGCAGGGCTTGCCAAGTGGCGGCGAGCCCTACTCGCCAGCCGCACGGTGCTGCACTCTGCGCATGCACAGGTTGCTCTGCGCCGGCTCTTCCGGGGTGTAATTACTTGCCATAGGCGAGTAGATTACACTAATTGTCGAGCCCTGATTATGTATATGACTTTATATATACAGAAATGCATTCCAATGTTTCTACTACCAACTATCAGATGTTTTTTCAACATTACTGATTTC